TTCCTTACATGAACATTTACACAAATATTGAGACCATCAATTCCGTAGATGTAAGGTAAGTCTTTTTTTTTAACAATCAAACTTAAAGGCTGATGAATATCTGATAAATCTAAAAGTATATACAGATTATAAATGCAAGAAAATAAAATAGGATGAAATACACATGAAAAAACGATCTTGAAAGAAAAAGAATGAGCTATAAAAAGTGTTTAAAAAACGAGAAATGTATATTGACCATTAATTTTAGTGCACAAAGTGCTAATTTGAATGCTACAAATGAATTAGAATGGTAAAAGTACACCGTCGCGATGTCAGAAAATCGTGTTGCGCTAAATCGAATGACCAAATGGCGAGAGAAGCAATTTGTTCATTAATTGGAATGAAACATACATAGATTCTAACGAAAACTTCATAGATTTGAAATCTAGAAAAAGGAATATCAACCCGAGATATACCCGACAGCAGGCGCGTACGCAGGGGGGGGGGGGGGGGGGGGGGTTTGGGGGTTAAACCCCCCCCCTTTGGTATTTTTATGTGTATAAACCCCCCCCCCAAAAAAAAAAAAAAAAAAAAAAAATTATCCCCATGAATGACCCTAAAACAGGTGACCTTACCCCCCCCAAACGGAGCAAAATGTCAAATTTTCAAATTTGGAGGTCAAAAAAGAAAGAAAAAAGTGTCCTCTTACCCGAAATTTTCGGCCCGATTTATGAATGTTAAACCCCCCCCCCCCTTGAAAAAATCCTGCGTACGCGCCTGCCCGACAGCACTAAAACCGTCGAATTTGAACGCAAGACAAATGAATTTGAATGACAAACTCGCGAATTTGGCCGGGAAATCCTATATAAAACGCAACACCGCCACCTCTTCTTCCTTTGCGGTCCGCCCTAATCAACTTATAATTAGGCAAATTGAACATATCTGGAGAATTCTGATGTAACCATGTCTCACTTATTCCAATGACGGAAAATGCAAAATTATTTAAAGAGTGTAAAAGGTTTTCAACGTATTCGAAATTTTTGTTCAGACTTCTGGAGTTTATATGTAAAAGTGAAATATTGTCTGGTTTGTAAGAAAATGAATTTTTGAATTCTTGGGGTGTGTAGTATTTGCTCTCGTTTATATCGTCGACAAGAATATCGGGAGTGTGCGCGTGCGAATTCATTTAACGATACGTATTATGTACAGTACCGAAAATTTGGAGGATGAACAACTGCATGTGTGATGCTGGTGCGTTTGTGTGTGTACGAAGTGCAAGTGTGCGGGTAACTTCAAAATATAATACAAATGAAAATACAATAAGACCCATCTTGGTCACAGTTACAATAATTGCTTAGGAGCAACAGAGCGGAGCCCGACCGCCCGAGTAAAGGGTGTATTTTTGACACGCAAAATAGAGGGGCTGGGAAGAAACAAAATGCTTGATAACAATAATGACAAATCGGAGTACGATTATTAAATGGCAAAGAGGGATTTGACATTCCCGCTCATCAAAACTAGTTCAGTCTATAACAATGGATTCTGTGATTGACACAGGAGTTTTGCAAAACAAAGAAATTTGTTGTGCGGAGGAGAAAAATGTATGCATGTTAAAGCAGACTCTGAGATGATACTTAATAGCAATAACGTCATTTCGGAGTACAATAATATTAAATGGCAAAGAGGGATTTGACATTCCCGCTCATCAAAAAAAAAATAAAAAAAATCAGTCAATTACAATATAACAGATAGACTCAAATTTTTGGAATGCTATACAGATAATAATTATTGATAAAGAGTGAGGAGTTCGGTTTTAATAATCCCATTAATCAAGATCAAAGGTTAATAAAAACTTGTCTCCAGCTTCCAGCCCAGTGGAGGGTAAGCTATATACATTCCTGCATGATACAAAATGGAGCTGCATGACACCCGAATGTATACAATCGTGACAATTTAGCATTAGTGAAAAAGTACAATTCCTTCAAGATTCAAATGTTTTACGTATTTGGGCGATCGAATTTTCCATTATTATTGGTCACAAAACAATAAGACACACCAAAACATAAATGCAGATTCGAAATGAAAGTAAGGCTGCTCAAACAATGGACCCATCGCTCTATGCGTCGAGTATGTTTGTGATAGAGCGCCACAGCGGGCCGATGTGAAGATCGGTCAACAGTGGCGCGGAGAAGCCACGCCCTGTTCCTATACGTCAGACACGCGTAAGCGATAAGTCCATGTATTTGTTAAGGTTATAAGCACACGAAATTTCGAATGTATTTTTGATTGACACAGGTGATTAGAAAGATACATGCATGCTAAGGCAGGCTCGTGTGTACATACTTGATAACTGTTATGACAATTCGGAGTACAATAATATTAAATGGCAAAGAGGGTTTTGACATTTCCGCTCATCATAAAAAAGAAAAAGTATCGTCAATTACAATATAACAGATAGACTCAAAACAATTGAATGCTATACAGAAAATAATGAATGATAGAGAGTGAGGACTTCGGTCTTGATAATCCCAGTCGTCAAGATCAAAGGATAACGAATACTTGTCTCAAGCCCATTTGAGGGTAAAGAATACATTCCTGCATGATACAATGTTCTACTGCATGTCCACTGGAAGGAATACAATCATGACAATTTAGGATTAGTGACAACCGTACAATTCTTTCAAGATTCAAATGCTTTACCCATTTGGACAATCTAATTTTCCATCATGATAATTGTCATATACAAAAACCAAACAAATATAAATAAATAAATAAAGTTTTGAGAAGAAAGTTAGGCTGGTCAAACAATGGACCCATCGCACCCATGCGTCGAGTATTTCTGAGATAGAGCACCACTGCGGACCAATATGAAGATCGGTCAGCCGTGGCGCGGAGTAGCCACGCCCAAACGGTCTAACCCAGGCCTTCTCAACTAGTTAATTAGAAGTGCCAAAACAAAAATTTATTGAGGTTAAAGTGCCAACCTGTATGTTTGGTGACTGTGTTGCGAGGGAGCGTAGCGACCGAGCCGATACCGGGTGGTGTCCAGGGGGCGAAGCCCCCGGAAGCTAGTGGATTGTAGGGCTTTTTAAGGCCCAGATGTGGCATTTTTAACACCTTTTTGTTCCATAAAACATCAATCATAATTTCATACAATCCCTGGCTAAAATCTACACAGGAACTTAATTTACATGTAGTTATTTTCGTGCAATAAACACGGAAAATGTCAAAATCAAGTGAAAATCAAACAAACAAAATGGCTTGCTTAGGGTCTACACGTTGTGCTCAAATTTGACTGCGACTTTTTGATTTTGCTGAGTTTTTTAATTTTAAAATATCATTTTTAATTTTTTTCTTTCTTTCATTTTTTGTTTTTCATTTTTATTTATTTTTTATTATTTGTTTGGAACAGCTGCGCGCCACTCCGACCGATCGCAAGCGCCACAAGTGGCGCGCGCGCCGCCAGTTGAGAAGGCCTGGTCTAACCGGTCTAAAACGTCAATTAAGAAAATCCTTACCCAACAAGCATTAGCTGTTCATCTTATTGATAATTATCAGCCAGTACAGAAAATCTTGAAATTACTCCCCTTTGGTTTCTTAGCAAGGAAAATAATCTCTCCAAACTTTGCAGTTTCCTTTCTAGTCATTCTCCCATGAATGGGAATCGCCATTTTGATTGAATTAGTGATGTCAGAGTAGTACATATCCACTGACCTGCATTATGTATAATGACTGGCTTTTATGCAACCAGTGCCATCGATGTAAAACGGCAGCCATCTTATTACCCCCACTCCCCTGCATCTCAGACATGTGATCTATGTGAACAGTTCTCTTTTGAATAACGACAGAGCTTCGTCTGACCAACAACGTAATACTATGTTTGCCAATGTTGTTTAACAAAAGAAACTGCTCAACTATTTCAAACAGTTTTACCAAATCTTGCCACAATATGTGACGGAACGTATCGATTCACCTGATTACATTACCAAAATGGTCTAGGAAACCATTTTTATGGCTGTAGTTCGCACGTGAGTAGGGACTTTTAGATTCGCACGAAGACAATGGGGATTGCTACGATCGACGTCCTTTTAATGCACTGCCTTGAATGGACGTCACACGTATCAGTCCACGCAAATCTAAAAGTCCCCAATGTCTTTCATTGTAAACACCTTTTTTTGGAAAAGGGCACCTACAAAGACCTGGTTCAAATATTACACCTACCTGACGCTGCGAGTGACGCATTCATTATCATAACCCCTTTGTCATGACCTACTGTTTGTACAATATGTTCCTGGACGGACCTAAATAAATTCATTATCAATTGACATATGAATAAAGAGTGCTAATAATAACTGTCTAAAGTCCGTATTCATTATTTCGGACCTGGCTCGTTACTCTAACAAAAGTTGAGCTTGCATGTCAATTTTGGTTAATACATCATGTACGAAATGTGATTGTCTGTTTCGCTCTGTATTATGGTACAAACCATGAAACAGGAGTTCTTACAATGTCCTTTTCTTCTCTTGATTTTCCTGTTTAATAGGCCCATTTCACCTTAAGGTTTCTTACTGGCTATGACAAAGATAGTGAATGCGAGGTCTCTTGCAATGTTTCATAGCAACCGGACAGAAAATATTTCTGGATATATTTATGTTTTGTCCAGAATAAGAGAATAATGATTTGAAGGAACATAAAAGTGCAAAGTCTATGTAATATTAAAAACTTCAAGGGTTTTATTATAAACTGAAAGATCTTACCTGGTCACTTTACTTTTTCGCACATTAATATTGAACACAAATTTGAAAACGAATTCTGTCTAGAACATGAGCAAATCGTGTAAAGATCATTAATACGAATTGGTAATATGATTGTTCTTATCAGTGCTCGCGAATGCAGAGAAAATTGGGGGAAATTCTTCATTCGTGAACGCCTTGATCCATCATTATGTACCAAACAGGCGATTTGTGGGGGCTATTATGCGATGGTGCTTATATCTCTTTTTTTTTCCCACTCTGTTTCAGAGTCAGTGTCAACGGAGGAAAGGAGAGGAATGGTTTCGAGGAGGCTGTGAAAGGAACGTACAATTGGTTGTTTGCGGATGTCTCCAAAGATCTCTACAACGCTTCCACGCACACATTCGAGACATCCCACAAGGTCTTCCGAGGAGCCTTCGAGGACGGGTTCCCCTGGGAGGTTCTAGAGGTGTTCTCTGGTCCACCCAAGGTGGCCTTCACCTGGCGTCACTGGGGCACCTTTACCGGCACCTACGAGGAGCAAAAGGGCTCTGGAGAAGTCATCGAAATGTATGGTTTCTTGATTGCTACTGTGAACGACGAGCTGAAGATTCAGAAGCTGGAGGTCTTCGTCAAGACAGACGGATTCCTAGAGGCTCTTCAGGGAAAACTCGATCCAAAGGAACTGGCAAGGGGTAAAGATTTCATTGGATCCGGTTGTCCTTTCATGCAGTCTCAAAATAATGATGGTTAGATAACTTAGATGCATATAAAGGGTTATGACTATTATTTAGTAATAATGTAATGACGCGAACTTGGTCTGGTCACTTAACCTAATACCGGGAACCCCGTAAATAGCCGTATGTCTTCTGAATTGAAATGATATCAGAAACATTGTTAAGCAAAAAAAACGGCCTTATATCTTCAGAATTAAAAAATCACCTACAGGTTGTTGTTTACCCAGCGTAACAAGCGTACAAAAGCGCGTATTTCCGCTTCACAGGCGTGTTGATGCGCGCACAAAGCAATTTATTTTTGTTGAACACAAATAATTCGCGTTATACAATTTCTAATGAGAGCGTGAATGCGATCGAAATATCCCGCCCGCCCCCCCCCCCCAACTCAGTGTTATTTAGGGTACGCGTATGCATGTTCCCTTCTTTTGAAAACACCCCCCTAAGTCTGGTGCGTAAAGTCAATACGGGCCGGATTTTTGTGTACTACGAGCCGGACTTTGGTGCGTGAAAAGTACCCCTTTACCGGACATTTTGGAAACACGCATGCGGTCCCTCCGACCCCGGAGTGGGGGGGGGGGGGGGGGGGGGGGGGGCGGGCGAAATATACGAGGTGACAAACAAAGTGTCCAGAAAGTTCTTTATTTTTGTACGAAAACGTGGAATTTGGTACCTAAATGTAAAGGGCACTTTTTGGTAAATTGAAGATCGGCAAAATTACTTAACAACGCAAACAGCATACATAGGAGAGTTCACAATTGTGCAACTTTTATAGGGGAAAACGGGAGATCTCAAATATGTACCGGAGAAATATATAGTAGACCAGCCAAGACGCTAGTTAAAAAATAATTAAAAAAAATAAAAATGGATGGCATTGTAGGGGTAATGCATGACTTCCATGATAAAACTTTTAAAAGCATACCAGGGAATAACATAGGGGTGGATGGCAATTTCATTTTCTTTTCTTTTTTTTACCAAAAATTGCATTTTGGGCTCAAAATTTGAAAGAATGTAACAATTATGATTTTTTATTAATTGACCAAAATATGTCTTATCTGATGAAGACCTTTCAAATAATATAATTTTATTATGGGTTTAGAGTAACAAACCTGGTTGATATACATTTGAAAGTTATGTATGGCACAATGAAACAAGGAAGTGTGATTTACTCAGAATATGGGGTTATAAAACTAATTTTATTTTAAAGTTGTTTTTTTACACACCATAAATCTGTCCATTGAAATACCTTTTCTTGATTAAACATATAATATATGTTGTTATGCAAAACACAGAAAAGAAATGATCAGGTAATGTGATGGATGAGTCATCTTATGCTATCCCAAATGATTATTGATGTCTTTTTACAGGATGCGCATTTTGAGTGGAAAACACAATGAACATGCACATCTACAATGTACATGTATCGATTTATGGAAATTCTCTCAGGTATTGGCAGTATAAGTCCATGTACCAATAATTTCTTTAAAATAATCTTAAATTAAGTTTTTCTGTTATCAGAATTTGCTTGTTTGCTCTAAAGTTGGTGGTGGGTAAGACAACTAGGAATATTACCATGGTAAAGGAGAAAGTACATTTTAATTTTAGGAAAAGTCATATACAGTGTTTCTAAATTAGAAGTTTAAAAATACATTCATGTTAAGCATGTCGATATATGTATTCAAAGCTTCTCGCTTTATTACAAATGCAAGTTATTACAGGTATCAGTCTTGTTGAGAAATTGCTGTCGCTATGCAAACAGATCGAAAAAACCCGGATATTTGTATAAAATATCCCCAAAACCCTTTTTTTAAAAAACTGAATAAATGTTTGCATAATTGTAAATGATGATTTTCTGTTTGCTAGGAACCTCAGCTATCGTAATATGTCCGTTTGACATTGATTTGGTGATGGACGTGACCGCTAAGCCGTTACCATGGCAACAAATCAAGACATTTTGGAATTTTAGAAAACACTATAATAATTGTGTTTCTACAACATGAAGCAGGCCTAAGTGGTAATTAATCTAATAAGTTTAGCTAAACCTTTGATTATAATAATTAAAAAAGAGTCCTTTGAAGTCAAATTCATGTTTAAAGAAATGGCCGTTGCCATGGAAACTGAATATTAAAGAATTTGTTAATATGTGAACCAATAAAGAAATGTAATTATCAATACAACATATAAAACAAGCAGAATATGATGTTATCCGGGAACCTCAGGTATACTATTATCGCCTCGTTTTGTTATTGTTTTATGTTGGAAGTTGGTGGTGGATGTGACCACCATTGCCGTTACCATGGTTAATAATTATTGGTTACACATCAAGAAATCTTCTTTTTTTAAATAAAAATAAATACCACATATTTTGTAATTGAACAACATAAAAACAAATGTAAGTATCTTATTCTAAGTATTTGAGTTTCCGATATGATTTCAATGTAAAATGAGCTATTAGAGTTCAGGATAAGGTAGACAAAAAAATATTATTAGTATTGAAAAGGTATAATAAGAAATTGAAATTTATAATACAAATAAATGTGTTCTAGCTTTTAATATACAAATCGTCTGAAGTTTTCTTTTGTATTTCAGTATACCACACGGTTTCACTCCCATCTTATTATATGCAAATATAAACATACTGCAGTTCTTTCGACTGAAATATATTGTATCAAATATTGTCCAGTGGCGGATCCGGGTGTAGGGTAGCCTCTTGTCGATGGCCCTCGCGTTGTTGGAGTCCGTATATTCTGGCGAGCGCAGCGAGCCAGAGAAACCGAGGCGCTTGCGCCATCGACAAGAGGCTAGGTATGGGGGGCTTGGGGCACAGGGGCACATGCTCCCCGCTAATTTTATTTTGTTGTTGTTTTGTTTGGGGGGGGGGGGGGTTGTTTTTGATGACTTTTGTTGTTGTTGTTGTTGTTGCTTGTCAACAAAATTACGGACAACCATCACATCTTATCAGGGCAGTGGGTGGTCTACTTCTAAGTTTAATACAGTTTTTGTATCTTATCTATATTATAAGTAAACTTTCATGACGACTATTAAAAAGAATGGTCCAAACTTTTGTAAAAGAGCCTCGCTTTCTCGCAAACTTAAGAACTTTAAAACGGGCAAGAGACGTGAGCCCCCTGTAGAACTTGTGCCCGCAAGCATAATGATAATCTAAACAAGACTTGTGACGAAAGTGTCACCTTATATGTGAGATAATTAACACATTTATTAAGCAGAAACGGATAGGCAATTCAATTGATATTGAATTGAATATGGAAATTCTCTCAGGTATTAGCAGTATTAGTCTATGTCCTAATAATTGCTTAAAAATAACCTTATATGAGAGATAATTCGGGAAACATTCATGAGTTGAAATAGCGCAATACAAAGAAATCTCTTTTCGTGCTATATAAGGATAGATTTCCCACGGCAAAGCAAAGCCGGACTACGAGCCGTTATTTCCAAGTCCTTTTCCCTATATCATCATGATCAATATGCTATTTTTACATCTAACAAAAAACAAAACTAAATGATTGATGATATCTAATAACTGTCTACATGCCGCAAGAGTGCACGCATGCGTATACAATTCGTCCTATTTTCACGAAGTGACGGTAGTGAATGAAAATCGCATACAATTTGCATGCATATTTTCCTCACTACCGTCACTTCGTGAAAGCAGGAACGAATTATTACCACCTGGGGATTGGTACCGTGTAGTGTCATCAAAGTACCTATCCTAAAGGTAGGATATCCGCTTTGCAAAAATGTTTGTAATGGATACTCGCTAGTCGCTATCAAAGTATTTCATGTAAAGCGTGTTACACTTACGCCTCGTTGAATAGAGCGTCTCTTATATTTCACCTCGTGCAAAATCTTGTACCATTGCACTCATGACCATTCACTATTAATGTTGTAATCTCGTGGTCATAGCTGTATCCGTTGAAAGTGACTTGGTAACATTGTTAAAGGTTGATGAAAAAATTGCTTATTTTTTGTGTAAAATGCTACTTACTATGTATACTAACCGTCTGACATGCAAACAATCCTGAAAAAAATTCTCAAACCACGAAGATATCCTTGGTTTTCTTTATAGGAGTCGATGTATGACACCCTCTAACAGTGATAAACAGTAAATTCTCCCAACCATTTTTTAATTTTCCCAACCCGTTTTTCCATGAAAAAAAAAACATAAAACAGGCTATAAAAAATCTGTCAACACTTAAATGTCTGGAATGGAATGTAGAGCCATTTTATTGCTTTGTGACAATTTCCATTCTCCTTAAATGTAATTAAATTGTAATAATATAATTGGGAGAATTAAGGAATCGATCAGATCAGTTTTTCCCAATTTGTACCATGAATAATGGTCCGTTTTCACTCAAATTTTCAGATTATCTTTAATTGCACATCTAGCAATGAAGTCCCTACCTCATCACCACTATCTCTCATCTGAACAATATTACAAAGTCCCTTAAAGAACTCTCCTCCGAATGTAGGCATTTGAAAATAACTATTTAAAAAAGAAAATATAAAGACTTTTGATCTCAACTGATTTTTAATAATACTATTCTGCATAGGCTATTAATATCTTATGTATATATAACATAGTACATCGACGATGTCTCTAAGCGCTTTATAAAATATATTACCACAGTTATCTGATTCAGGTTTGCCCGCAAACAGTTCAAGTACATTCTAGGCACCCTTTTTTTTGATGGAATAATAGACTGTTTAGATTTAAAATTGAGTTTTAGTCGGATCGAGCGATCCGTCTAATAAAACTGGATATTAATGGTTTAATTAATTTAATAAATCAAACCAAGTGACTAGGCCTTCTAACTTTGTTTTAGGGTTAATTATTTTTCTCCAACAAAGCTTATGGAGAGATAGATATTGCTACAAAGATATTTATTTTTATAAAGAACCACAAAGTGTTACACTTGGCGCAACAAAAATCGACATCAACGATTTTTAATTTTTTTTTTTAATTTTTAAAACAAGAAATATATAGCCAATTTGATCTTAGGCGTGATGTATACTTTGTGGTGTTGCACAATTTTCATGATGTTTGGGATAGCTTTGCGAAAGGGATACAATACTGTTTATATAATTGTAGAACTTGTAGGTCAGAATAGGAATTACGTTTAAGCGGATCGGATATTGTATGACTAGACAATTATTTCCGCATACAAATAGCTTGTACCCTGCAACACGTAGATTATAAAATGAAATGGTGCAAAAGTGCAAAATTACAAAAGGTAACTTCAGTTCAATGATGTTGTAGTATTTGGTTTGGTTTGAATGGTTTACTTACTTTACTGGTAAGAAAACATGTGTATGCTTGTAACTGAGAACCAGGTGACTCACGGCTTGAAGTCCTTTCAGAGGAACTTGGTAATGAGGATAAATGCCTTAATCTCAACTAATAATGATGATAACGATATTAAAAAGGGGGAAGCCCGATCGTAATAATGAAATAATTTACGGGGGAAAAAAAATTAGTTTCAGTTTCAATTTTTGTAAGCTTTGTAAGTTTTCGAACGGAATTACATTTTAATCTTATACTTTAATTTTGTATCTTAAACTTTATTTGATTTATCATTTTGATCAATCATTCTTCTCATTCATAATTTCTTTTTTTGGCATATCTATAATGCATTTTTTAATCATGGGTTTTGTTTATTTTTGTATTTATTAATTATTTGTTTACACATTATTCATTTATGTATTTATGTAAGGGTGTATGTACGTACATGTATGTATGTTTCATTGCCTTATTTATTCATTTATTTATTTATTTGTTTGTTTATTTATTTAATTATTCATTTATTCATTTGTTGTTTAGATGGGAAACCCAGATCTACATTCATCAGGTGACACATCCTCAATCAGTCCGTGATCTTTTTTTTTTTTTCCTTGACTCAGATTATTGTACAATGAACTCAAAGGGCACTGGATGTTCATGGATACAATGGTTTGCGTGTCACCTCCATACCAGGCCACGTTCAAGCGAATTGTCTAACTTCCATCGATGATCTGCTTACAATGACAGTCCTTCTTCCGCAAATAATTTGACAATGTTTGAGGAAATTTTGTGTTTGTGACAGTTTCTCATTTCGTTTTTAAAAATAACAGTTATATGTATATTTCCTTATTTATGATTCATTGTCAGAAAAGTACTTATTGTACTTTATATTATTATTGTTATTGAAAAACTGTGTATTTACATGAATGTAGAAGAAAATCAAATCAAAATTAAATCGAAATCAAATTTAATAATTCATCTATTTATTCATTCATTTACTTATCTATTCCTATTGTTTCTTTTATATATTTATTTGTTTATTAATCCAGTTACTTTTTTGTTGTTGTTAATATTAACCTGTTCATTGATTGATAGATTGATTGATTTATTAATGAATTACTTAATTATGTAAATTTATTTAGCTATTCACTTAATCATTATTCTAGAGGGGCATCTAGATTTACATACATGAAGAGACGCATCCTCAACTAACCCCTAATAATTAGCTCTGAGATTTTCCTTGACTGACATGTTTGTGCTATAAACTCCGAAAGGGCACTGTATGTTCATGGTTACAACCAATCGCGTGTCTTCTCCCGGACTACGTTCGAAATTTCGGATGTGACAAAATCGCCGGTTTTCGCTGGTTAGTTAATTTCTAACCACCAAGAATATCGAAATTACCTGAGAAATGATGACATGATTAATTTAGGAAGAACGAATATTTTGGTTTCCATAGCTAACTACTTTTAATGAATACACGTGAGTGACGTGACTAGTGTCGATACTGATGAATAGGCATTTATTGGATGTGACATCAAACGACTAAAAAAAAGGGCATGACGAAGATCAAGTTCAAGTTCGAGTTCAAGTGTGTTTATTTTGTACGATTTGTCCATTTCCATAATACACAAATATTGGCAATAATCATTATCACAGTCATTTTTAACTGAGATTGAGAATTTGAGAATGCACATTCATCTTCGAATTTTAGCAAAATGAAAGTAAAATGAATTTTCATTTTCATTTTACAGGAGTTGCATAGTCGTCATAGGGGGTCCTTTTGTTAAAGAAATCAAGATAAATGGCTCTTGTTAGGGCTGAAAGCCCACACCGCTTCCTCCTTTCCCGGCTTTCCTTGGACCCGCCACTGAGTTAAATGAAAATCTTGTCAAAATATCAGATTATGTTTCAACAGCTCTGTGATCGAGTGATTCACATTCTTGTATGTGTGTACAACCAACGCTTGATTGTGTGGCTGAAATAATACATTAATGTGAGATGTTTAAAGAGAAGGTCGAGTTCTGGAGAGAGGTGAAAAATATTTTGTGAGCATTTTCCTACATCACTGAATAACACACTTCTTGCAATAGCCACATTTAAACTGATTGAATCTTTGCACATCACAAAATGTACACACTTCGGTACAAGGGTCTGAAATCAGACTATTTACTGAAAGGATTGCAATCTCTGAAGCCGACTCGACAACTATAAAGGCCGTTATTTTTCCACAAAAATACATTTTCAAGCCCTTTGGTTTTGAGTGAAGTTCTAAATTATTATTATTTTTCAAATGCCGGTGGAATTCACTTTTTAGCCTGCAAACGGTATAGGACCTTTAACTAGGATTAAGAAGATTTTTTTTTCTTTCGAAAAACAATGAATTTCATTTTAAAAGAAAGAAAAATAAGAACAGAGGTTTGGACAAAAAGCGGGCCCTGCAACAAAATACGTATAAAACATGATATATGTACAATTCATAAAAGGATCCGTTAAGGGTAGGCCTACTATGTCCCATTTGCAGGCCAAAAAATGAAAAGGTTAAAGGTAAAGACCAGTAATGGTCATGCGATTGCATTGTGAAAGAAACGTTGTGGAATCGATCAGAAAAGGTCGATCATCTAGCATCTAGCATCTGCAAGGTTCTGGAATCATCAAAATGATAAGAAATTTGGCTCATTCTTCGTAAAGTTACAAGCACTATACACAGAAAGATGTATATGGGACTACCCTATCTCTCTCACCAGACCATGAGAGAAATAAATTTACCAAATATATGAATTAGTAGGCGGTTTCCCGGCAAATTTTTTATCATCATGTATTAGTCAAAACATATTCTTTCACATGATTGGTAATGAGAGCTTCCATTTCATTTTTTGAAATTGGGGCGTTGCCAATACTGGTCTTTACCTTTAACTTCCAACGGCATTTGAAAGTAAATACTAATTTAGAACTCCCCTTTAAAAGAAGGGGGCTTGAAAATGTCTTTAAGTGGGAAAATAACAACTATTAGTTGTCGAATCGACTGAGGAGCTATAGAGCCAGTAAGTAATAGTCTGATTTTCAGACCATTGTACCGAATGGTCGTACGTTTTAAGCTGCGCAAAGGTTCAATCAGTTTAATTTGGCCATCACAAGAAGTGGGTTATTGATGTAGACAAATGCTCATGTACCCTTTACAGCTCATTTATGTACGTTATTACCAAAGAAGAAAAAAGCCAGTCAGTCACTCAAAAGTGTCTGACAGTGAGGTCAAGTTAACGGGTTTCCTTGCATAATTTGAATATTAGGACACTGCAAACGTTTAAATTTTACAGATAGGACATACATGACATATTCAGAATTCCTGCAAAGTTCTACAGAATTTGATGTTGACTGCAAAAGGGACATAGTATCTTTAAGAGATTTTATTTTTCTAATTTTGGTGGGTTTCCTTTTTATTGGGGTCTCCGTCCACTGCCATGCGTCATATATGTTCTCAGTCTTTCTGGCTAATCAACCTTTCAATATAGGTGTCAATAGAAATCTAAACAAACTCTAACCGTATTTCCTGTACACTATTTGGGTCAAGACACTTTTCACGAGAATCGACCAATCAGCGACAGTGTACCATCGATATCAATGAGCGTAATGGAGCAGACGTCGGGAGGTGTATTCCTTCGGTAGCCAATGAACGAAGAGCTTGTATTTCTCGGCGGCATAACATTTCTAACAGCAACTGGACAGCAGACGGGAATTCGCGTTATTGGTCATTCAATATTGATGCTCGTCTGGCAGTGAAACCATGCTATTCTACGATGTCGGTGTTAAACATACACTCACGTATAGAGTACTGGAATTTTAAGGATAACAATGTAAGTTATTGAACTATTTATGCTTATGTGAAATAAATACTGTTGATTTTACCACGGGTTCGGACGTAGACCGAAAAACTGTTATCATTTTTTGTATGTAGGCCTACTTGTTAAGTGTACAAATACTTTTCAGACCATAAGGACACTGGTTTGAATATGTTTACTTAAGAATGATGTTCCAATCATTCATAACTTTAAGCTTTTTTTTTTTTTAGTTGAATCAAAGATATTTTTTCGGGGGGGGGGGTGTATCAATTCTTTCCATTAGCTCTTAAAGTGGTGCGATATTAATATTGTATAAAAAAAATGACTCACTCGTTGACACTGCAAAATTTGCCGATCAAAATTACAGTGAAACCAAACTGTTGTACATGTAGATCAACATTTAAAAAAAAATGAAAATGAAATAAAATACACGCAATGTTTATGAATCGTATAAAAAATATATTGTAAATATCTCTCATAAGCTACATAGGATGGGAATTAATAGACCATTTTCACAATGTCCTTTTCATCGCCAAATGCAGGATCTCGGGAGGCAGTTGTATACATGTGGATTACGACACAGATGCAACTAAATTTGATAAACACTAGCAGTAAGGGAGAGATATTATTTGAAACGAATGAAACAGAAAGGCAGTGGCTCTCGAAGGAAAATATGTCATCAACACCATTGCCCGGATCCGAGGGGTCATTTCCATCGCTAGACATGGACGCCACAATGGGAAGTTCAATGCGGACATTAGCATCGGACAACGAGCTGGCGCGGAGTAGCTCCAAACCGGTCGTCGACATTAACATGCCGATGACATCACCGACATCGTCGTCGCTTTCGACGTTACTTCCTACAATAGGACCCAATAACAGCACAGTGTATTCAACAAACATTACCCAAGCAATGTGGGACCGACCAACTATGATTGGTCTCTCGGTGACATTGTGCTTGCTCATACTTGTAAGTTTGATAGGAAACTCGCTTATCCTGCTAACCATGATTACCTTTAAGCATATGCGGACCAAGACGAATATTTTCATCGCAAACCTGGCTTTCGCCGATCTTGCCGTGACGCTCCTGTGCATGCCCTTTACCTTGACGACAATCATCACAGGAGAGTGGGTGTTTGGAATGGCCATGTGTAACACCAATGCATTCTTTGATGCCTTGTGTCTCGTCGGCTCTATCCACAGCCTCATGTACATCAGTATCCACAAGTTCTTCTCGCTGGTAAAGCCGTTGTCAAGGATCATCACCCACCGTCGCATGTGGATGATGATATCTCTGGCGTGGTTGTCGGCGTTCTCTTGCGCCATCGGCCCGCTGGTCGGGTGGTCTTCGAACGAGTTCAAGAATGGTACGACCCAGTGTGGCCCCAAGTACCCCGAGACGCCGTTGGAACGATCCCACGCCTACTACGTCCTAATCATTGGCTATTTCATCCCCATCTTGGTCATAATCGTCCTCTATACCTGTATCTTCCAAACCATTCGCCAATACACCGAACGTCTACGCCTTCATTCCTCGATGGACATCCAACAGATATTTCGGCAACAGAAGCGAATCATCGGCACTCTCTTCATCCTCGTCTTGTCTTTCGTGCTTCTGTGGACGCCATATTTTGTGTATGCAAGCCTGGGGATGTTCGTGGGATTTCACAAGCTCCCCGTTTGGTTGAATCTTTTTGGGTATTGGTGTGGATACGCCAATTCTGCAGTGAATCCTGTTATCTATGCTTGGAGGGCCAAATCATTCCGGGATGCTATAAAGGATCTATGCTGCTGTGCATGCGCTGGACGAAAGAGACCATTCAGATTAGGTAAACCTCTCTCGTATATTTTCTTCGCTAAAATTAAGACCCTTGGCTTATGTCATTCAGTTTCTCTGCTGTAGATATCTTCCAAATTACCATTTAACGCTATTATCATCATCATCTTTACCATCACCATCATTGCCATCATAGTCATCCATCATCACTGTCATCATTATCATCGCCAAGCCCATCACCATCATCATCATCATATATGAAATTTAACATCTTCATCATCATCATCACAACTTTTTTACATCCCTATTATCACATTATCATCCTCCTCTTCAACATATACCATTCAAGTTCTATTGCAACTTTTATTGTGCATTTTTATTCATTATTTCGTAGTAAAAGAAAATCGTGAGCAACTTATCACTCCGGAGTAGGCGAGCCACCCGAAACCGATTCAATTCAGATTAATTAAACTGAAAAGTCATTTCCTTTCATTAAATAAAAATAAACCAACAGATACTCAAATACTATAATGTATATACGTGTATAGTGACATAAATACTGTTTAAAACATATTAATGCAAGTAAGAAGGCGCAAATCCCAGTAAGCATGTATCGGGTACGCCTTTAGAAACCAATGCGATGGATATCAGTTTCAGACATGGTCCAAACAAAAATCAGGATTCAGGATTTTATCACAAGCATATTCATCACCGTTAGTATTAACGTCATTATCATTATCATCACATCCTTATCACCAACATCAGCAGCAGCATTAAGTCTGTGAAAAGTGGATTTTTCCCGATTTATGTTTTTTTGAGAATATGACGTATTAAAGTTTACATGTAAACGTACTTAAAAGGGCCCTATTAAACCAATCCACCTTTCATTTTTGAGTTACGATAAACACAAAAAACTCAAAATTTGTTATTAAGAGCATAATTTTATATTAATACAAGGAAGAAGGCGCAAATCCCAGTGAGCATAATTTGTTTCGGGTATACGCCCGTAGAAACCAATGCAAATGAATATCAGTTTATGACATGGTCAAATACAAAACAAATAAATTCAGGATGTCATGTTCTTCTCATTGATTTTTTGTAATGAAAATCAAATTGTTTATGAATCAGTTACAACTAGTGATTTGCAATACATTGGATGTTTAGGAAGCATTATTTTCTTGTGAGCAAAAATTATCTGTTTGGTCGAATATAACAATCAAGGGCAATTTAGCCGTGGAGGTATGATATAGTGGTCACTTGACTCTCGATCTAAGAGTTGAGGGTTCGAATCCCAGCCAGGCACTAACGTCCTTTGGCAAGAAATTAATCCACATTTGCCACTCTCCACCTAGGTGTACCTGGTTTCCTGCTGGGGTAATACAAACAATTGCAAGGCCCACAGGAAGAGTAGTATTAATACTGATGTGGCTACCCTGTGTAAATAATACCAAATTTTAATTTCACATGAGTAATCATTTTCATGAACATATGACCGGAAATATGTACGACAGAACAATCATCATAAAATAATACATATTTGAGACTGACTAAAGAATGCCTAATGAGAATCAATGATTGATCACATAAATGTCAAGCTGTAGGAGATATTACACCACCTATATCCACTCAACTCACAATCGCACAGTAATATCAGGAAGCTGTAATGGTAATATATAGAATTAAAGATAAACTTGAGTGCTGGTAATGCGATTGCATTGTGAAAGAAAAGGTGTTAAATGGATCAGAAAAGTTGATATATAGCATGTAAGTAATGGTGTGTAATGCAAGGTTCTAGAGTCATCAAAATCATCATAAATTTGGCAGAGTCTTGGTAAAGTAACAATCACTTACACAGAAAGATGTATATGGGACAACACCAGGCGCGTACGCAGGGGGGGGGGGGGTTTTGGGGGTTAAACCCCCCCTTTGGAAATTTTTTGTGTGTAAACCCCCCTAAAAAAAACCTAAAACCCCCCCCCCCCCCCCCCTTTTGGATTTTTTTTTTTTTTTTTTTTTTTTTTTTTTTTTTTTTTTTTAATTATTAAAAAAAAAAAAAAAAAAAAAATATTCCCATGGCCGACCTAAAAAAGGTGACCTTACCCCCCCCCAACGGAGCAAAATGTCAAATTTCCAAATTTCGAGACCAAAAAAAAAAAAAAAAGTGTCCTCTTACCCCCCCCCCCCCCCCCCCCCCCCCCCCCCCCCCCCCCCCGCTTATTCAGCGGTCGGCTGAGTCGTTGCGATTTTTTTGGGACCAAAAAACCCCCCCTTGAAAAAATCCTGCGTACGCGCCTGGACAACACACATGGTGTCGGGGCTAGTACTACCCTGATTTCCTTATCTTTCTATGCTCATTACTCAGCCAGTATACATTTTCTTCCAAAATTGTTTGGCACATGACATTTATTTGTAATCTTGAACATTCAGTGTAAGTTTCGTTAGATTATGTGAGAATTCATTTTCTTTTTTTTTACCAGAACTCAAGTTTATCTTTAAGGTTTATTGGTAAAGGTTTGCAACATATTAATACAAAATGAGACAGAAGAAATGGAAATGTTATGAGGAGGGCTTTGTCCAACGTCTGGATGAACTATAGCCTGATAGAATAGAATAGAATAGAATACAAAATGACCCAAATCTGTTGGTATTGCCTTGGAAAAATAGTTTATTCAGAATCTTATTCACGTTCACTTTTACCGAGAGAAATTATATGAAAAAAGTGTCAAATGTGAACACTATACTCGGTGATGATTTACGACCGGTGTGAAAGGTTTCTCCAAATAGCAATCTGTCAAGAATTAATCCAGTTTTTTAATTAAAAGTTCCCCACCCAAAGCATGCATTCTGTCACATCTCTATTGACACACATCAGGAATCGCCCTTTTGTGTCCTCATCATTCTCTCTGCTCGCTTCACAAACATAGCTCTCTCCCTCTCCAGACCTATTACTTTCCCCTCTATCTCTCTTTTTGCACCTCTCCGTCTCTCTACTCTCTTTCCTCCTTCTGCCTTTCCCTCCCTCTCACTCACCCCTTTCTGTCTCTGTCTCTCCCTTTCTTCCTCTCACTCTTTCTCTTTGTGGTTTTCTACACCCATCTATATCAATTTCTACTGTCTCCAATATCATCCAGCCTTTCCGGCTCTTTCTGTTTCTCTATGCATCCCTCTTATTTTGAACTGTTCATCTCTATAATTTTTTTTTACCTCCCTAATGCCATCCTTCCCCTCACCCTTCTCTCTGTATCACTCTCTCTCTCTCTCTCTATATATATATATGTCTGTCATTTTCTGTATGTCTGTCTATCTGTTGCTCTCACTATCTCTAACTTACTCTCTCTCTCTCTCTCTCACTCTCTCTCACTCTCTCTCTCCCACAGTCTATCTCATGTTCTCTCTTCCTCCTTTCCACTCTCCATCTCCCCCTCTCTCTCTCTCTCCCCCTCTCTCTCTCTCTCTCTCTCTCCCCTCTCTCTCGGCTCTCTGTGATCTTCTAAACTTGAACCCCTCTCAATCTCAATTACTTTCTTACATCCTTCTCTGTCGACCCTCCCTCTGTATCTTCTGAACTTCCAATTGAACTCTCTCAATCTCTATTAAATTATTTTCCTCGTTCAATTTTCCTCCCTCTCCTCTGTCTTGTTTAAAGTTCCTCGCAATTTGAATAGTCTCAATCTCTATTCTATCTTTCACTCCTTCAATCCCTCCCTTCCCCTTGTCCCCCACTCTCTCTCCCTCTTTCTTTACTTTCCTTTCATTTTGAACCCTTTTTCGTCTCTTTACTTTTCTTTCCCTCTTTCAACCCTTCCATCCCTTTCTATACTTCTCTGTGTTACCGTCAGTCTGAATCCCTTCCCTTTATTTCTGTCCCTTCCTGCCTGCCTCCTATCCTTCCTTCTCTCCCTCCCGATTCCCCCCTTCTCTCCCTCCCAATTCCCCTTCCCTCTTCCCCTCTCGATCCCTCTTTGCGTTCCTCTCTATATCAATAACATTCCATTTTCTCTAGGAAAGCATGGAATCCTGTAACCAGGTTAATGGCCTAACCATCAGAGTATATTGATTAATAAGTCTTCTTGGCCATAAATATGTTACAATCATACTTACAAGTAAGGACAAATGAGCGTCAAAGTAATTAATGTTGCAATAAAAATAATATTATGCGCAAATATTTATTGCTTAATTGCTTTTTTAAATTTGTTGTATTGCTCTGGCGATATAGGTATTCAATGGGGTTTTCAGTTAGGTTAAGGGCTAGTGTTAGAGTTCAGTCCATGGGCGACGTTATGAAATCAGTAAGTGTAGGATTAATTGTTGCTAGAAAATTCAAAAGAACATAATATATCGCACATTATTAGTAAACATCATCACTAAAAACGATTTCAAAATATGTTACTACTCCGAGTGATGTACTGTAAATAAAGCCTACACTGGTTGATCCTGGGGCCTAGAGAGCACGTCTATACTACATGTGCCCCCTGCCCCCCCCCCCCCAAAAAAAAGAGCTTGCCCCTAATATCAGATCTGGGAAAAGGTTTTACTTGTCAGATATTTTTGAACCTCATTATGACATTAAAAGTGTATTGTTTTTTATTTAAAAGAAACCTTGATGATTTTGCATTATACTTGTGCCCTGCTGCCTCCCCCCCCCCATGTCAAAGAATTTTGGATCCACCACTTACCCAGGGACGGATCTATGGAGAGGGCCATGTTGGCCGTGCTGCTGTCTACAGTGTTTGCCTTCTTGTCAGCAAATGTTCCAAATCAATCACCAGGAACCAATGTAGCATTTTACGTTTTCCCGCGGTTTGGTTTTCCACCAACAGAAAACTGGACAGTTGCAATCGACAGACGAGTGTTTGATGGTTAAACAATAACCGAATCTTGGTCGAATTTCGGCGGGAAATGGCTTCCTGAATAAACAAGTGCACTTTAGCGTTGCCTCCTTATTTTTAGCTCAGACGAGATCGTCTATCTTTATTTCGAGCATAGGAAAATATATAAGACGGTCTTTTATGAGAACATGGAGGAAAAATTACTACGGCATGACAATTATTTACTCACAATATATATAATGAGAGTAAACTGTACTACTCTCAAATACTATCTAACGCAATGACAAGTTCAAAATAAAGAAGTGGTCTATATGCAAGAAGATATATCTTGTGACACTGTTATTTTTTTGTATAGACATCTTCTGAGAAGTCATAATCATTTTTTTAAAGATAATTGCGAGAATTCTCAGAGTTTTTTTTGTTTGTTTTGGGTATTAATTTTTTATTTTTTTATTATTATTATTTTTTAATTTTTTATATATATATATATATATTTTTTTTTTTTTTTTTTTTGGGGGGGGGGGTATCTTCGCTTTACATTACGCTATGAATGCTTTGGGAACTAAGCTTTTACGATGCCCGAGGGCTTAATTTATGTAGTTCCCCATTTAATTTTCTAAATTTGTTTATGAATTATGTTGTATCTTTTGTATCTATCAATTTAATTTTTTTACCCAGAATGAAAAAAATGAGAATTGAATTGAAATATATTGAATAAAGAAAACATCTTTTTATTACGTAGTCAATGAACTATTGTCCACCTTTACTCAAATTATTAGTTGGATTCATGTGTTTAAATCTTATTTGAGGCTTACTAATCCCTATCGAAATCTAAGTTAGCTTATAAGTCGTTCCTTTACGTTTACATAACTATTTTAGTTTTAATATTTTGTGTTTTCTTTTCTTTCTTCCAACCCATTTTAGGTGGTGTTTCAAGTCGTGTTGCAAAAGGTGAGCACATTTGATAATAGCCACAGAAATTAAATATCTTATCGGATACAAACAATCATTTGTATTAAGGCTTTAAAGTCATTCATATTTAGACGTTTAATCGCCTTATCATTAATTGTTAAGCAGCAGACCCGAATGTAAATCGTGGTAAACCATTTTTTCTTTCAAAGTTTGGTAGCTTGGCATGTCTCTTTTCTCTCTTTCCCCGTCTCCCTCTCTAGCTCCGCCTGCCTCTCACTCTCTATCTAGCTTTCTTTCTTTCTTTCTAGCTCCCTTTCCTTTCTCATTCCCCATCTCCCTCTTTGTCCTCGTCTATCTGTCTCTGAATTAAATTGTCCCTCTCCATCTCCCTATAATGCCCTCAGTCCCTCTGCCCCCTCTCCTCATCTCTATCCCTAAGCCCCTTGCCTCCCTTTATCACTACTATCACTTTCTATTTTTTTTATCGCGCCCCTTTGCCGGGGGAGGTAGAGCGTCTTTCAAAAATTGGGGGGGGGGGGGGGGAGGGCACCATTCACAAAGGACACTTTTTGGAAACAGGGTCACTTATCAGAGGTGAAAAGGAGCACTTCTCGCACCTGAAAAAAGGCCACTCATCAGAGGTAAAAAAAGGGGCATTTCTAAGAAGGGGAAAGGGCGTTTATTTCAAAGGAAAAGGGGCCCTTGTCACACTAAAAGCGGCACCTATCAGAAATTGAATATGTGTACTTATGAGAGGTGAAAAAGAAGCACTTATGAGAAAGGAAGAAGCACCCATTTGAAAGAAAAAGGGGCAGTTTTGTAAAGTAAAAGGTCACCTTTTTTACAGGAAAATGAACACTTTGGGGATACTTGAAAATGTGTGTGTGGAAAGGGGGACTCAGGGAGTGACGCCTTTGCCCCTCAATGTGTCTATCCTCGACCGTCTACCCTTTCTCCGTAATTAAAACATTATGTTATGTAAATCCTACGTAAACTATATAAACAAATATAAGGAAATTATAGGTACACTATTATGTAAGTCATAATGTTAAAGCAATTTCGTAATATCATTTACCTCTCAGATGCATGGAACACGCGACGTGACCCGCTCCAGTCACCTAACAGATCTGTCAGGGCCAAACCAACAACCAACCTCACCAAGAAGAAAAGCATCAGTCTTCAGAGTCTCAGCAACGTCAATACCCTCATCTTCCCGTACGTCACCTCCTCAAGACCTCCTCCCGCCGCCGAAGACAACAGTACCAGCAACAGCAGAGACACACTCTACACAGACCACCCCTCCAGGGAGGGGTCAGGGAGTCTCTGGTCTATTGATGGGGGTTCGTATACCAGTGATGTTGCTTATAGAGTGGGAGCAGAAAGAGGAGAAGGAGGAGGAGATGGGGGTATTGGTGGTGGTAGTGGTGTTAGGAGGGCGAACAACAACATGACGACATTGGAGCGTGGACAAAATTTATTCGAGATGGCAATCATGGCCGCGGAACAGGAGCGCATGGTGAATTCACAAACGTCACTGGACAGTGTCGTCAGTCGAAGTGCCCGATGCCTTAGCGATGGCGCAAAGGAAAATCTCGAGATGAATTTCTACGACGTCCGTCCGCGACCTATGCAAACGCTTTCGTCGTTCAGGTCTTACCAAGGTTCAGTGTTCAAATCTCATCTCAGCCCAGAGAACGAAGATGCGCCGAGTTTCGCCGACCCCGCCCTCCAAATCTATGGAACATTCGCAGTGGAAATTTGAGGAAAACTGTACTATCATGACCATTGCATTACCAGTATTCTCCAGATGAACATCAACAAATTTCTTAGATACATCATTCTGAGTTTGTTCTTAAATGATCTCACCCCGTTCAAGCTTTAAGATGCGCCTGGTTTATAATTAGGAATAATTTTCTCAATCATGCTAATACATGTACCCGTAATTTTGTTTAATCAATATTAATCTGCATAATTATAGACTTACCATGAACATATTGATTTCATACTGTCATTTGAATCGAAAAAAGCATACTCACTGGCAAAGATATGATATCTGGGGTAACAGCTTGAGAAATGTAATGATTTTTTACGACATATTCTTAATAAAACTTACAAAATTGACGCCCTAAAAAACTTTTGTTTTAAATAAATTATGAATCCACACATGCAAACGTTAATTTATTATAGTGTTTGCAATGGTAGTGTTTATTTAAGTGTTATTTTATTAATTCTCTTCTCAAACATTCATTCATTTTATTTATCATGATCATTTCTGACTACAAAACAGAGTTATGTTTTGGGAGTCGACGTGTCTCCATTTTTCTTACTTTCTGTTTCTTCAATAATAGTGATGAAAATTGTGAAAGTAATAAGCGTAATTTTAATTCTATAAGTATTTCAGTTTTTTGATGATGATGATCATGACGATGGTGACAGTGGCAATGAAATAGCCTCTGCTATTCATGATGATACGTCTACGAGTGGTGTTACGGATGGTTTCCTCGAACCGTCTCCTCAGGTCCTAAGTTAATTAAAACGGATGACACAGTCACACAAATTGGTTAAGATTCAGGAACCATTATTAAATATTCGTTTCTAGCTTCATTGTAAAACCCCAAAGTATGTATATACATCGGTCTATACATCCATCACCGGTGGTTTAATCAACTGACTAGAAATGTAAAGGTTATAGGTTCGAGTCCCGGTACGGCACTTGTGTCCTTGAGCAAGGCATTTTATCTTCTGCATTGCACCTCTCTACCTGTAAGTGTTAAATGGGTACCCAGTAGGATACTGGATTGTTGATGGATTTGTATGAACATGTATAGTTGTAAAAGGCGACTAGCTGGAATACACCCAGGGAGTGGAGAATGTGCGCTGTAATGTACAGAATAGTAATTGAATGATCATTGTGATCATTTAATCAATCGTTACTTTTCGCGCTCATTATTGCTCATGGTTCTTGTCACAATCAGTCAATAATTGACATTATTTGTACAATCAATAATTGCTGATCTTTGTTAATGAAATATGTATACATGTACATAATATGACTCATTTGGGTAGCACAAATAATTCAGTTCTCATTTGCACAGTCAGAAAATAATATATTATGAAAATATTTATTTATTGATATGCATTGTACATACTAAACGTTTATATTTATTTTCTCGTCTTATGTATCATTGTGTCTGATCTCCGTTTTGCTAGTCTAAGATATTTGAGTGTATGTCTAATGATCCTTGTCTTTCTTTGCTTTTATTTCAATTTCTTAAACTTATTTGTATGACATGTTTAGGAACTGGACCATTTTTAAAGAAATCCTGGATCCACCCCTGATACCATTACCATTTGTCTGAGACCCCCTCCCCTAACCCCATCCCCAGCCTATACCCACCCTCTCAAACGCCCACCATACACCTGTCAACCTCTAAATTCCCATTTATCAGCATGATACCAGATGACTAAACTATACTGGACTAGCTTCCTTCCTGTGGTCTGTAATCGACTGTTCTTCTTGTTAATAACAGTTAAGAGTATCTTGGGAACAGACGGAGCATATCATGCTATCAACTTATACTTAAAGAAACACCTCACAGAAAATAAGGGTCATTTGAGAAACATAATCAACAGTTTACAAATTTGCGTCTCATACGTTTCTCGACAACCTGAGTTGATATTTACTCAAGTACACCAAAAGGAAAGTGACAACATATGCGAAAAAAAAAATTGTGCTTCTAATTATTACTCGTAAGGGAAAATAATGGACAACTAGATTTTGATACAGTGGGTCTTCTACGTGTTGATATGATGATTGATAAAGTAGGGAAAGAATATCGTCGATAAATAAATTTTGAAAATCCGAGCTTTCTGTTATTATCATTTCCTTTTTATTTTGGTTTATTCGGTGTTTCTGAATTTGGTCTAGCGTCCCACCCTTTCATTCAATAATAAACACATCTTGACACTTTCTTTACTTTAGGTCTAAATTCTATCATGTACTTTACTGTTTTTTTTTATCAACAGTATGGAATTGTTTGATCGTTTAACTTGCCGACTAGGAGATGGGGGAGGGAAGAACTGATCCTTATTTTTCTTTTCTTTTTAATTAATCAATGACACGGACAAAAAAAATCTTTTGGTTGTTGCAATTTTCCGACTACGACTTCTTGCGGCATGGGGGGGGGGGGGGGGGGGAGGCATATCACACCCATATCGTTTCCAAGGCATATCACCCCTTTCACTCTTAAAACCATTCAATTTTCGTATATTTTTTCGAATTATTTGTTGTTGCTGTAATATGAGATTGAAAAGGTCAAGCGTATTAAACAAAAATGTCGATTAATGATTTAAAACAAACTGGGAAAGAGAAAGATATTTTGTTATTTTGCCTTGTAAATTTCATAATTAATCTAATTAAATAATAGTATCTTTTTCACTCTATCTTCAATATTGATTTGTGTTCTTCCAAGAACATGACTTATATAACATAATTACAGGAGGCATTCACTTAGTTTGTTGAAAGTGAGTGTCATACATATAGCCTCTAAAGAGTTTTAGATTATTCCCTTCCTATCCTTGGAAAGTCACTCCCCAAATAGTTCTGCACGCTATCTAACAGGAATAAAAAGAAGATAATGTTATATTCTATTCTTCCATTGTGTTCAACACCTATCAACAGTTGTCTACCAAAAATCTTTTTGAAATGACCATGCACTGTTTGTTTCGACAAAATAAAACAATTATCAAAGAGCGGAAAGTACTGACCGTTACCGAGAGTTTAAAGTACCGTTATCTCAAGAACAATTTCCTCCTCCATTTCCTCCGGGCATACAGAGCAAGTGCTATCAGGATGGCTGGCATGCAGGGAAAAGACAATCATCAAAGGTTTGATAAACTTGACACGTGATCAAGAAGAAGGCGAAGGCGTCCCAGAAGAAAACGAAACCCGTTGTGAGCGAACACTGAGATGTATGGAAATAATTATTTGCTTTTCATAAAGTAAGAGTAATGTCCTTTCAAATGATACTTTGATTGGATTAATCCATACACGCTTCGCCGAGGAACATTTTTTTGAAAATCCAAATTTATCGAAATCAAATCGAAATCCATTTAGGAACACAGGCGGGCACATGCCCCTAATTGAATGGTGAAAGAGGGGGGGGGGGGGAGCGTCAAAATGCGATACGACTGCTCCAACACTCTGCAATTGACGACCTTGTTAATTTGCATGGCATCTTTCGGGGAGGTCTAGGACTAGTCCTCCCCTAGTCTAGTTCTGGACCCTATATGATTTTTGTTATTGGCCGACTATAAACGTTAAGCCGAGTAATAGCGCGATCCTTATTGACTGCTATATCCCCACTAACCGCGCGAGAATTCTAGCGCGGTTTAAAATAGTGAGGGGTCTCGCAATCACTAAGGATCGCGCCATCACTCGGCTTAACGTTTATAGTCAGCGAATAACAAAAATCAATATAGGGTCCAGAACTAGACTAGTCCTCCCCGGCAGCAGAGCCCCTGACCCCCTTCAAGACTGACTACGTTATGCCACTGACTTGATGCTTAATTACTACTGTGATTTGGAATTTGTTCATTTCAGATTCATTTTGAAATTCCGTAATTATATCATATCCGATTGATACAAGTCTGCAGATCTATTTTTTTTAAATGTCATAGCAGTATTGGTTTTGATTCTTTTCCTCCCCTTTCTCGTGTCGTCACGTCAAGCTACATGTACCCCCTTTACATTTCTTATCTGATAACTGTCGGCATATACATGTATACATGTCATTGATCATTGATGCCATTGTCTTCTTTCATTTTAATTTATTTCAACATAGAAAAAGTTTGGTCTATTATCTTTCTCTTCTCTTTCTCTCTCTCCTTCTCTTCTTTTTCTCTCTCTCTCCTTCTCTTCTCTTTCTCTCTCTCTCTCTCCTTCTCTTCTCTTTCTCTCTCTCTCTCTCTCTCTCCTTCTCTTCTCTTTCTCTCTCTCTCTCTCTCCTTCTCTTCTCTTTCTCTCTCTCTCTCCTTCTCTTCTCTTTTTTTCTCTCTCTCCTTCTCTTCTCTTTCTCTCTCCTTCTCTTCTCTTTCTCTCTCTCCTTCTCTTCTCTTTCTCTCCTTCTCTTCTCTTTCTTTCTCTCTCTCTCCTTCTCTTTTCTTTCTCTCTCTCTCTCTCTCTCCTTCTCTTCTCTTTCTCTCTGTCTCTCTCCTTCTCTTCTCTTTCTCTCTCTCTCCTTCTCTTCTCTTTCTCTCTCTCTCCTTCTCTTCTCTTTCTCTCTCTCTCTCTCCTTCTCTTCTCTTTCTCTCTCTCTCTCTCTCTCCTTCTCTTCTCTTTCTCTCTCCCTATATCTTTCATTTCTAATATGATCCGTTGTTTCTTCATCCTCATCTTCTCTCGACCTCCTTTTACAAATACTTTTTTTTTTGGCTTGCCTTTTCTTTGTCGATGTTTTCTTGTGCATTGTTCACACTTTAATCTGAAAATTGAAGGACGTGTGTAGATAACGAGAAATAAAAGGAAGGTTATTGGAATTCTTCATGGCATTGTACTCGACTGACCCTGAGAATTAACCAGGTAAAAATAGAAGAAAATAAATATATTTACGGATCCTATAAATAAGAAACTTTGAAAATGACTGATATGAGTCTATAAAATGCTGTACAAAGTTGCAATCAGATACAAAGTCAGGATGAGCATAAATTATTTTATTTACACTTTACAGTCAAAATCCCTCTTCATAAACATTTAATGCAGTTGTTTCGCAATATTTACTATTATTGAATAATAGACTTTCATCAACAAAATTAATCACAATAGGCCATTTTCGTTATGTAACCAAATTTAATGCATAAGTGTATGTGAAGTGCCTCAATACAAATTATTTCATTCACCTGTTAGGAATTATAGTCAGAATGCAACTGCATATATTAAGTGTTGCTAGGTAAGTCAAGCCATAATGCTTGTCCAACCTGACAACAACTAATGTATGCAGTTTGGATTCTGTCTATTAAAATACTATTATTCTTATCAGGTGAATAAAATAATTTGTATTGAGGCACTTCACAAAGACATTACGGAAATGGCCTATTATGTAAAGAGTACATCTACTCTGACATCAGAGTGGTTTGAATAAAAATCAGAATGATTAAGACAAAAATGAGACATAAATCGTTGAAAGTTTGAAGAAAATCAGTTCAAGGATAAAACAACCTTAGCATTTCAAAACTTGCAATCAGTCAAGGACAAACTGGCAAATCAATGATTTTGTTTGCAAGCAGCTCTCCATACACTTTGAACAACTTCAATAAATGTCCATTGCTCCATCAACAAAAATGAAATTTTGACATAATTTGTTTTTAAATGTCCTCACAAGAGAGCTTTTTCCTTTTGGCATCACTCATAAAGAGGGACATTTATGATAATTTCCAGTTCATGTACAAAACAAGTGGATATACCTGTATATCTACTCATAAAGGAAATTGTGAGAGTTGCCAATTTCTTTTTACAAGATCACAACTTCAGAGCTTTTTGCTTTTAAACCAACTTGATAAATAGGGTTAAAAAAAAGAAAGAAGCAAAATAACATACACTGTAAGTGTAAACAGCTTCTTACATTGTCACATCAGGCAGGGGGAGGGGGAGGGGGGAGGCCTGGAAGGGGGCCCTATATGCCTCCTCCCCTCCTCTCTGAATCCAACACTGTTTATTCTGATCATTCCTTATTGCACCACTCTCTGAGAGTGTTCTTCTATGAATAGACTATCCACACATTATCGAATGTATAGACCTGTGGAAATCTTTAAAGGCATTGTTCAACAATGCCAAATCTGAGATGCACGGACCTACGTGCTTTTAGCGTCTGTGATATGGTGTAATATAGAAGCCCTAAGAAACATTGCGCTTCAAAATGATCATGACATGAAGTGCCTCAAAAAAGTAAAAATCTTTGAGTGACCGGATTTACCATACTCATTTTCCCGAATAGACTGTAGTGTTACCAAAAAAATTGGGGAAAACGGTTTTGCAATTTCAAATTCCAATCATAAATATCTTGATAATCAGACGGGCGATAAAGGTTTATAACTTTGATTGCAGCATGAGCTAAATCCAGGCTTTTGTTTAGAATCTGAGACAAAAATACCCATTCCCTTTAAACATGATCGCAAAGACTTCCGAAAATCTAACCCAAGGCAATTTCAATAGCTCTTCCCATCATCCATTGGAATGTGCGAACAGTACAATAACGTATTACATAATCCGAATGTGACCTTTGTGGGATACACAGAAAGGATTTTGGAATTACCCTTGAGTTGATTTTGTGAAATTCTTTGTGACTTTGTCAAATCTAGTTTTCTGCAGTATGAAATCTTTTCCAATACAAGAAGAAATTAATCTTGATAGTTAATTTACTACCATAGCGCCCTCTATCCAAGCTGGATCAGGTAGAGTGAAACGTATCTCATCTATTTTACTTGCTGAAATAAAACTGAAATAGAAGAATATTACACAGAAATCTATTTTTGAGCATTAGTCTACCTGTATTGCATATATAATGAACTTCCAGTTTTAATTTCAGTCTTGTATCGCTAACGGAGACATATCAAATATGATTACACAATAAAACATATCATTTTAAAATACAATATTGAACCATTTTAATTTTGATAGTATTCAACATACCTGTATGTAAGTTCATACATGTACATAGGAAGCCACTTTTTGCAAATTTCATCAATAAATAACTAGGTACTTAACCTTTTCCAATATGTAAGAAGCACATTCACGAAAAACAACGCTAACGATTTAGTGAGAACGATAATCATTGTTAAAAATAACAAAGATTGTGCATCCTCTTTAACTATGAGAGTTGACATAAGATTTAATGATGGAAAGTATAAAAATATCTTTCTTTATAATATCAATTCCATGGAAATAATTTGGTTACCCCGTACAGAAAATATCTCTGATCAAATAATGCTCCTTCCCCTCCTCCTCATTTTATGTTTAGCAGGAATTAATAATAAACATCCTTAATAATGAAACCAGGATGACAAATAATGCCCTCCATAAAATCTGCCATAATGCAGGACTCTACATTAAAAAAGCGCCCTGGACCCATGGGCACCTAAAATCTTAACCTGGACCCCCCCCCCAAAGAAAAGGTCAACATTTTAACATAGGGCACATACATGTACATGCAGACTCTAACAATCCAGAACCCCTTTTAACAAATTAAATGAGAAGCCCTGCATACACTGTATAAGCCAATATTTTCGTGTAAAGTTTTTTTCTTCACAGATCAAGGGTTCAAGGACATATTTTGTGAGTTGTTAAATTTGTAAAAAGCCACAGCCACTACCAGTTATATAATTTTCAATAACATCATTCTATGACAGGGCTTGCTTTAATGATTTTGACACAAGACATTACCTGCTGGAAATGTTGTTTGTATGTTGTAAAATTTGCAATCAATGAGAGATCGCAAAATTCGCAAAAAATAATGGCATATATAGCAGTTGATCTATGTATACATGGTAAATACAACTTCTTTTTGCTAGGACACACATTTTCTAGAGACATCAGTTATCTCAGGCATAGTATTCATTGGCTTAATATCCAATTGATCTGGTGCTTGACGACCAAACCAATGACGCTCACCTGAAGATCTTGGTTGGTCAATATTCAACTATCACAGGCATATTTGCTCAAAGCTCTCATTTATATCCTCTGTTTGGAGCCAGAAGGGCATGTTCTCAGTGTTAAAGAATATGAGTTAGCGCCCTTCTGGCTCTAAACAGACAAATTACTCTACCCACAGCGAAAGTATATTTGCTCCAAGTTCTCATAGACAATGCAGTGGTCGATGGGTTTATCACTGATGCATTGACTGATGTTCATCCATGCATCAAGAACATATTTCCCTGAGGTCCTTGCTGATATGCTTTATCTGCGATGAAAGCATATTTGCTCCAAGTCTTCACTGAGTTGCCAATGTCCAATGACAACAAACAAAAGAGAACCACCGCGGTCAAGATGTACATCATTCTGGAACTGACCACCAGGATGTCCATTCCGATTCTCTTGGTGATCGCTTGACCACTGTGTCAGTGTCAGTGGAAGCTGAAGTAGCGGTCAATGGCCGCAGAGAAAGCTGCAAATCCCACACACCCAGCAACGCCTGGCTTCAGTCCGGCTGGAGAAGAAATATAAATGAAACAATAGCAATCAGTCGTAGATATTTGTTTTCTCAGATTAAAATCTCAACAAGATAACAACCAAAAAAAGGGGGAGGGGGGACGTTGAGACCTATTCTTTTATTCTATTCTATTGAATCACAAATCTATCTAGAGGGAAAAACAATGGTAAGGAGGACCCAGATAGAAAAAACAAATATTGAAATCATAGCTAATAAAAATGTATAGAAAATAATGCTGTTACAGGAAATAAGAAGAACAAAAAGAAGAGAAGAAATTATATATGGAGAGAGAACGCTAGAGAAGAGAAGAGAAAAGATACAGAAGGGGGTAGAAACCGAGAGTGGAAAAATGAAAGATGACAGGAAGATAGAGTGGGAGACAGAAAGTGCAAATACAGTCAAACCTGCTTTAGTGACCACCTGTCTACAAAGGCCACATTTGTTGTTTCCCTTGAAAATGGCTTCTCATTGAATCATGTACTAAAGGAATCTGTCTACAAAGCCACCTATCTACAAAGGCCACTTTTTGTGTTTCCCTTGGGCGGTTGCTATAGACAGGTTTGACTGTATATTATAAGAAAGATGCACAAACCTCTATAACCGATGAGACCGCCTGTTATACATCCTGCTATGGGACTGTTCTTGGCATCATGTTTTCCTCTATACTGTAAATATGATATGAAAATAATGAAATTAGTGGCGCATAAAAGATAATAGTCAGCTACTAGTATGCAGAACTGTTTGATTCCCCTTTTTGCAAGTATACTGGTATACCCAATTCAGCAGGCTGTGAGTGCGGCCAGGGCCATCAGACCATGGACCATGTACTGAGCTGTCGCATGCTGGCTGTCACAAGCAGTGGGAGGGACCTGGCAGAGGCCAACAATGTGGCTCTCACTTAAATGCTAAATAGGAAGTGCAAGGTAGGAAGTGCAAGGTGGGAAGTAGTTGTGTGAAGACTTGAAATAATGATGATTGCAGGTATAAATTACAATGGTCATTGCAATGCTTACAACTGTCCACTACCCCAGTCTTTCACATGTGAATCATGGACGACATACAGGTATTCGATAGCTTTTAAGCCTCATCAGTGCCTCTAAATGAGGCAACTTGATATGCAAATTCCTGGATTAGATTGGATTGGAAGGGGGATATTTAATTTTCACAGTTCATTATAAGTAACTGATGTTTTCTATCCTTAAACCACACACACTTGGTGCGATGTGTTACTGGTTATATGGGCCATCTTGCTTCATAGGCCCAAAATACAGACTTAAAGGCATCGTTTAACAATTTTAAATCTGAGATGCATCAGTGTCTGTGATATGGTTTAAATTTTAAGCCCTTAAAAAAAAGGTAAGAATATTTGAGTGACCGGTTTTACCATACTCAATTTCCCCAACAGACTGTAGTGTTATAAATACCATTAGGAAAACGAAAAATGAATTTTTGATTTTCAATCATAAATATCTTGATAATCAGACAGGCGATCGGCTTGTAAAAGTCATGGGATTCCTGACTGACCTAAACGTTTATAATTATGATTGCTGCATGAGCTAAATCCAGGATTTTGTTTCAGAATCTGAGGCAATGTTACCCAGTCACTTTAATACATTCACAAACACTAACATAGTCAGTGTTCTACGCCAGGTAATTCAAGATATTAGATTGTCAGATAATGGATCCAAGTGCACTGCACTAGACTAGATAGTAAGTCTGTGAGGGCTAATCAAGATGTCCTTGCACATCACTTTCACTTTCTATGGTCAGCCAGGCCTCAATGCCCTTTGCTAAGGCCATGTTTATTAAAATGTAGCTGTTATCCGAGTCATGTGATCTAACTTGGCTTTGGTCACCTGACTGACATCTAGGTCCTAGGGTTAATTATTGTTAGGGAGATCTAAGGCGCATATCTGATATTCTGCATACAACTGAGCTACATTGCTGCTATATTGCACAGGGGCTTATCATGTTAACTGTTTACTCAAATTTAAAACATTAAAGGGAAAGTCCACCCCCAAAATAAGTTTGTTTCGATAGAGGCAGAATAATAAGAAAATCAGGTGAGTGAAAGTTTGAGCAAATTCTGAATGAAAATAAGAAAGTTATGAATTATTGAAGTTGTGATCAATCAAATACAAATTGGCAACTCTGTGACTTATTATACCAGCTCTCCTTCATTTGCTTAGTGCATAATATTCCATAAAATCATGTTTTCTTCGTTATTGATGACGGAATATATATTTGTTCCTTGCAGGGGGAGTATAGAAACATATTTGCAATTATTATATTTAGGGTGCATGTATGGTTGAAATTTTTCTTGAGGGAAAATGAAAATTTTAGATTTTTTTAGTACTGAGCAAATGGAAGTTGAGCTCGCATGATACGTCATAGAGTTGCCAATTTGTGTTTGATTGATCACAACTTCAAAAATCCTAACTTCCTTATTTTTAATCGGAATTTGCTCAAACTTTCACTGACTTGTTTCTCTCATTTTTCTACTCCTATTAAAACTAACTTAATTTCAGGGTGGACTTTCCCTTTAATAGTATCGAATAGCGTTTTAATGTCAGAGTATAGTAGAAAGTCCTCAGTAATGTAAATGCAGTCACCAGTTAGCATAGCCCTCTTTGATGCAGTTTTCCAGTAGCACTACAGCCAATGAGTCATGAGGATATCATGCGCTAAGAATCCAGGTATTCCCGAGTACAGAATCAATAGCGTTCTTCTTGAGGTAGTCAATGAGACCAAATATTCAGGTGTCATGATAAATAATTGCTTATCTTGGGATAGTCACGTCAACTACATTGTCTCACGAGCCAAACGGCTCCTTGGGCTGCTTTCTAGTGTTTCATCTGGTCTCTCTTCCCACGCTACACTTTGTCTGTACAAAGCTCTTATTCTACCCATAATCGAGTACGGCCTACCATTGGACCCCGTATACAAAAAATTAATCGGTAAGATTGAAGCTATTCAAAGTAGAGCTACCAGAATTATCCTTAAACAAAGAAGAATGAAAATGTCATACAAGGAAAGGTTGCGAGTTGCGACGCTTCCGCTGGTCATCTCTTGAGTCTCGTCGGAAGTACACTTTGATCATATTCATTATCAAATGTTTGTTTATGAATATATCCTGCGATAGTGTAAACAGCGCCATAAATGGAAACCCAAGGTATAGTACTGATCTGAAGTTCAAACATTCAACCGAATGCACCTGCTCTTGCAATATTTATATATGCTCTCTATTGATTTTATCTCAATTCATGTTTGTTATATTGCTCTATTTATGTGACTTGATTTGCCAAATAAAATAATAATACAAAAATAATAATGCCTTTGTGGTTTGACCTCTCAGCACCACTGGTTATTGATTTAAAACCAATATCACAGCAGGTAAGGTTCTAAATCCCAAAGCGAAGATTATTTCCAGAGATAAAATCACCCTTTTCTGGAAGGAAAAAAACGAACTTGATCACAAGACAACCTTGTACTCAACAGCTGATTTTGCTGTGCATATTTACACGACCTATATTTATCTTCTTCTTCCAGTTGAGTCCCAGCGACTTAAATAAAGTATTTTCGTAATTTGTGCGGAACTTTTGTGCCGTGTGTAGGGTGTGGCTGCAAAACTGTCCTTCAAATATCCCAAAACTAAAAACTGTGGTTGTGCAAGTTTAAAATTTTTTGTTCTAGTGCAACTCACCGATTCCACAAGGCACTCTGTGCAGGCAAACATGGCTCCGATCATGGCAAAGTTCTTGGCGTGGAACAAGCACTGCTTTCCCATGTCCTTTAAGACATCTCTGGCCTTCTGCTTGGCTGCAAGCTCAGGATCTACCGGGTTAACGCTCGATGCAAACAGTCCAATAGCACCACCCAATGCAAAACCTGTCGAAGGAAGTAACAAAAGGATTAAATCGATACCGTGAGATAACAATGCTGTCCTTAAAATGACTCAGTAACACTGTTGAAGCTTGATGAAAAAAGTGTGTAATTTGTGTGTGAAATGGTACATATTATATTCCTTCTACTATACTAAACCTATCACAGGCAAAATATCCTAAAGATATCCTGATTTTTTTTTCAAACCATAAAGATATTCATGGTTTTCTCTGAAGGCGTCACTGTGCAAACAATTTTTGAATTTTCCCAATCGTTTTTCCATGAAAATAAGGCATAAGACAGGCTTTTAAAAATGTTTCAACACTGAAATATGACTGGAATGGTAAAATAGAGCCAATTCATTACTTTGTGACCTAAAAGGTAATTATAAATTGTAATAATATAGTTGGGAAATTAAGGAATCGATCAGATCAGCTTTTTCCAATTTTTACCATTGATAATGGTCCGTTTTGAGTTTTGACTCAAATTTTCAGATTATCTTTAATTGTACATCTAGCATTGAAGTCACTACCTTAGCACCATTTCCCCTCAACTTAACAATGTTACCAAGAGTCCCTTTAAACTGCAACTCGAAGGCTATGGACACCTCACTATCTTGGATTGGGATTTCAAATATAACAAATTCAAACTAAAAATAATATTTTCAAATTCTTCTCATGTTTTATAACAGCCCATGACTTAGCCTAGATCTATACGCTGAGTAAGCTTGTATCATTCGCCTTTCAGTTGAAAAGTAATTGAAGTGCATTTGGAATTGGAAGGAATTTGTGTGTTAAACTAAAGGTAGCGTATCCCTTTTGCAGCCAACAACGAATTCTGTAGAACTTTACAGGAATTATGAATATGTCACGTCTGTGAAATTTAAACGTTAGCAGTGTCCTACTCCTAGTATTCAAATTATGCAAGGAAACCCGTTTTCTTTCTAGACTTCACTTTCAGACACTATTGAGTAATTGACTGACTGATTTCATTTTTTACTTTGGTAATAACATGTATGAAATGAGCTGTAAAGGGTAAACTGCATTTGTCCATGTCAATAACCAACTTCTTGTAAGGCCAAAATGTAACCAATGGAATCTTTGTGCAGCACAATACGACCATTTGATCCAGGGTCTGAAAATCAGACTATTTAATTAAACTTGCTCTAGTTAAATTTGATTCGTCATCTAACAGTCGTCAATATCCCACAAAAAGATATTTTCCAGCCCTTTTGTTCTTCTGAGGGAAGTTCTAAATTTGTATTACATATATCTTTCAAATGCCATTGAAATTTTACCTCTCATTTTTTTGGAGTGCAAATGGGACATACCGGTAGTACCTTTAATATCATCTGTAAAATCACATGCAGTAACATAATTTCTTTCACACTGCAATGCTCAGTTCAGTCCGACAGCAGAATTTGAGATTTGATATTTCTAAGAATTCCTAAGATACTACTCCTGTACTAGGGTAGAGTGCCCAGTATTCGGTCACTTAAGGAGAAATCCCTAATATTTTATATCTTTTATTTGGCAATCTACCCATCAAAAGAAATTAAATTTATTCCTCTAACAGGATTTTATATTCACTTAAAATATAGAATAATGATAAGCAAAATACTTCCGAAAGAAGACGGAGCATTTTTCTGCCCAGAATTTGGTCACGCCGAATAGAATTCGGTCAGGCGATTTGTGCGTAGTATCTCCGTTGCCAAAGACGAAGCGTATTTGCGCACTATTTTCACACAATTGCACGATAAAGCACTGAATGTCAATGGGTTGACCGAATACTGGCCGAGTGATACCGCATGGCAAGGGTATCATATAAATACCTCTCGCACATCGGCAAGTGCGTCATTTGCAAATTCACTGCAATGGAGTGAACACGGAAGTGATTCTCTTCACACACATACTAAATTCATTGCGACAGCACATGTAGTTGTTTCGCAATAGACTTCTACATGTGCTAAGAGAACGCGGAAGTGCAGAAAGTTGTGCAACACTGACCAATTTCGAGCTAAGTTGGAGATCTTTCCGGGGCCCTAAATCTGATTTAATTTTGTGAGTTAAGAAAAGTTGTTCAGCTGCCTGATTTGTGCAAGTTTCGTGGCTCTTAAATTACTTTTTAAATTGTTAGTGTTACAGCTGTTGAAACGGCTGTCTGACCAAATACTGGGCGCGCTACCCTAGACCATAACAAAGTTTGAACGACTGCATCAGAAAGATTTTTTGAATGGTTCTGAGATAAATTGGATAACTCGTATAGACCTAATAAACTGATAAAGTTAAGTGCGCAAATAAGGTAATAAAACTTTGATAACTATTTTCATTATTTGAATTTTAAACGACTTAAATTTCTATTCCTAGATCTAGATCTAGATCTAAAATTCTATTGTAAACGACCGATGTGGAAGACTAGTCAACGCACCCTTTCGGCCAAACTGTGGGGGGGGGGGGGGGGGGCTTTGAACGAATGGTCGCGTTCAAGTCAACGCGACGCTACCCACCCTTTCGGCATAAGCCGATTCATCAAGATATTACCCCCGCCCGACCAGGGGCCATGCTGCCGGAGGTTTAGGGAGACACGTACCGAGAACACCGCTGATGACTGTCTTGAACGTGCAACTCTCCATAACCCGTTCGATCGTCTGTTCTTCCGGCGATTTGGGAGGAAGAGGAAGACCGAATTGCCTCATTTCTGTACTAAATCGCTTCTTATTCTCCCCTACTAAGGCTTCCATCACGTGTAATAACCGTAAATCTCCGGGATCTGATTCATTTTCAACTAACCCTACTCCTCCTTCCTCGTGTGTTTGACCACTGGGCGCCGCCATCTTGAGATTTTACAGACTGAATTGCGCATGCGTTGTGCAGCTAATAATGACATCATTATTTTTGTTTCCTTTTCATTTCTTTTAAGTCTTAACTAACATTTTAGATTCGTTGCATTTCAGCACAACAAATATGGATTTGGTAAATGGAGCCAACAAATAGCAAATACTAGTCAAGGTAGGTCCCATTCAGTACACCATAATTAGTTGTATTTTCTTTTTATATAATTTTTTTTTTTTTTGGGGGGGGGGGGGGGGGGGGGGGGGGGGGGGGGGGGGGGGGTTAGTTGCTCGTTAAAAAAAATTACTTTAGGAACCGGCAAATCTAAAGATCGATTTTTACCTACTTTCTTCGGTCTTTGAAAAGGCTGAGAAGGTAAACTTCCCCTTTCTTATTTGTTGAAATACTGTCGGCTGACACTTGGTAAATTTTGGTGCGCCCGACGCATTCAAAATGATCACCAAAATGGTCAGACTGACGACGTCCCTATAGTTAAACATTCCTTTCCCGTCTTCCCATTCTTTGTCAACCTTTGTCACCCGGCCCCTTCCCACCGTATCTTACTACGTCACTTACTATCAACCCTAAGGTTTGCCTTACAATTGTATTTTATTATCATTAAACCATTATTACTATTATCAGGGACGGATCCAGGGGGGGGGGGGCACAGGGGGCACGTGCCCCTCCCTCCCGGCCCCCGAAAATATGTTAAAATCAGCCCTAAATTCGCCCAAAATGTACTGAAAAACAAGGGCGTGCCCTTAAACAATTATAAACAATTTTATCTAAAAAAAAATATGCCAATGGCTGACCTAAAAAGGTGACCTTACCACCCCCACCAACGAAGCAAAATGTTAAATTTAAAAATTTCGTGACCAAAAAAAAAAAAAAAATGTCCTCTTACCCCCCCCCCCCCCCCCCCCCACCCCCACCCCCACCCTCGCTTATTCAGCGGTTGGCTGAGTCGTTGCGATATTTTGGAACCAAAAAAATATATATATATGTTCTCTTTCCCATCGTGTGCCCCCCCCCCCCCGTGTGCCCCCCCCCGGCAAGAAATTCCTGGATCCGCCCCTGATTATTCTAAGTATTGTTAATTGTTATTATTATTATCATTATTATAATTGTTATTGGTGTTACTATTATTATCATTATTATTTAAATCATGCAACGTTAATTGTATAGTAAAAGAAGTAGTAACAGCAGTAGAAGTAGTATCTTGTTATTTGTTTAATAGTTGGTTTCAGTTCGATAGATGACAAGTTGGGAAAAATTTGTTGATTAGAAAAAAAAATTCTTATCTCGGAGTATTGATGCATTCCATTTCGTCTGACAGAAACTAAATGCAACATTACTCTATGAATCGTGTATGATGAATGCGCAATAATGTCGGACTATACAGCCCATTCCCCATACCAAAAGAGGGCCACCTTCTGTCATTGGGCTAAGGTTCTGCAAAGTAAAAGGATGATGTAAATACATTGACAAGATGACGTAAAATATATTCTTATTGATGCAGCCTCCTAACCAACCCCCATCCCCTCATATATTTTGTTTTAAATTACATGAACCAGTATAGGCCTATCTTGGTCAGCAGTGAGTCAGGAGGGGATAACTGCCCCCTTGCCCCTCCTTCAAATTAGCTAGTAATGATGTATGTAGTAATCGTTGACTAAAATGCTATTTAGAGTGACTCGGTAACATTGTTGAAGGTTGATGAAAAAATTGCGTAATTTGTGTATGAAATGTTACTTAATATTCCTTCTATTTTACTAACCCTCTAACATACAACAAATCCCGAAAAAATTCTCAAGCCACAAAAGATTACGGTTTTCTTTGAAGGTGTCACTGTGCAAAAGAAGGTGTCACTGCCAAAGAAATATGACATAAGACAGGCTTTTAAAAATCTGTCAAAACTTAAATGTCTGGAATGGTATTTAAAGACAACTCATTGCTTTGTAAAGATTTAAATTCACCTAAAATGTAATTAAATTGTAATAATATAGTTGGGAGAATTAAGGAATCGATCAGATCAGTTTTTCCCAATTGTTATCGTTAATAATGGTTCGTTTTCACTCAAACTTTCAGATTATCTTTATTTGTACATCTAGCATTGAAGTCACTACCTTTAATAGCATCATTTCGTCTCATCTCAACAATGTTACAAACTCCCTTTAAGCATTGGCTTCAAGAAAAGAATGCACCACCAGAGAGTGTAACCATGACCTTGAGGAATAAAAGATACTAAATATTGAAATCTGAGTGGGGATATTCTAGAATGAGACGACCCCCTACCCCCAGGGGGGGGGGGGGGGGGGTACTCAGATTATAGTCGGACGGGGGTGTGCGGCTGAGACCTCCGAACCCATACCCACATCCAAGGGTCCTTTTGCTGAAATAGGTACCCATGTCTAAGGATTTTTTGTCAAAAATGGACCCATGTCTAAGGATTTCAAACTTCAAATATTACATTTTTTAAGCTGTAATAATACACTCCAGCAAAGCATATGCATATTGACCTTTAGCACTGCACTACGCGTTAATAGGCAGCATTTAAATACATGAATAGTCAATACACTCATAACACAGAGATGCACACAATTATGCCGATGCGGCTGATCGGCAAGTTCGACAGTGGACTCACAATTTGATTTTTTAAATTATTCTTTCTTACATCGGAAAGTTAAAAAATGTAGATTACTGCTATTTAGATCTTATTGATTGTCACTAAAGTATCGATTTTTAGTGAAATTGGTTGAGTTTTACACAGTGGTGTTTGAAATGTTGAGAATCAATACTAATAGCACAGCTTTTAATACACAGCCAGGATAGTAATGCACCTATGTGTGTAATAATACAATGGCCAATAATTTTGCAGTTTTCTCGATAAAGTTCTTTATTAGTAAACTGTACCATACTACATGTAGTTTACAAGTAGTTTACACACATAAAGATGAAAACACCATGCAACATAATAATACTGTGCTAGCACCTCTAGCATCTGTTTTAATTGAAGGACTTTTATCTGGTATTGTACCAGGACAAATGAAAATTGCTAAGGTAGTGCCAATATTTAAAAAGGGTGATCCTCAAACACTAAGTAATTATAGACCCATTTCATTATTGACATCCTTTTCAAAGCTTTTAGAAAAACTTATATATGATAGAACAGTGATATTTTTAAAAAAGACTGAAATATTTTCAAAATTCCAATTTGGCTTTCGTGAAAAGCACACCACTATACATGCAATTTTACACTTTGTTGATAAAATTGCTCAAGCACTAGATGATCACCTTCATACAATTGGTATATTTTTGGATTTCTCTAAGGCGTTTGATACGGTTGATCATGAAATTTTAATAAGTAAATTGTCATATTATGGAGTGAGGGGCATCGCTCTTAGCTGGTTCAGGAGCTATTTAACAGGCAGAAAACAATATGTATCATTAAATGGAACTGACTCAAGTCATCAAACTATATCTTGTGGGGTCCCTCAGGGGTCCCTTCTTGGCCCCCTTCTTTTTATATTATATATTAATGATTTTTATCTTTCATCTGATGTACTATCTTTCATATTTTTTGCAGATGATTCAAGTGTATTTTTTTCTCATAAAAACCCTGAAGTTTTATTAGATACAGTTAATATTGAATTAAAAAAAGTTATTTTGTGGATTCATGCAAATAAGTTGTCCTTGAATCTTCAAAAGACAAACTATATGTTTTTTAGTAACTCCCTAAAGGATGTACCTGGAAATGTATTTTTTGATGATGTTAATGTTGTGAGAGTAACTTCCACCAAGTTTCTTGGGCTACATATTGATGAGAAACTGTCTTGGGCATCTCATTGTACTAATATTTGTAAAGTCGTGTCTAGAAATACTGGTGTAATTTATAAATTAAGTTCTTTTGTCCCACAAGAAATTTTGCTTATTTTGTATTCTACTTTAATTTTGCCTTATCTCAATTATGGAGTGCTGGCATGGGGGAAGTCATTGAAAACACAATTAGATAAGATTTGTGTTGCCCAAAAGAGGGTGGTTAGAGTTGTTTTTAATGCGAGCTATCGTGCTCATACTAATGTTTTGTTCTACAGTAATAAGCTATTGAAGGTTGAAGACATTTACTTTATACAGTTAGGCGCAATTATGTATGGTTTTGAAAATGGTACTCTCCCAAATGTGTTAATACAAATATTTCGAAAGAACAATCAAATTCATAGCTATAATACAAGGCAGGCAACTGCACTTCATATTCCACGTGTAAGAACTGCTTTTGCTCTGAAGACGCTGGCTTGTACTGGTCCCAAGTTTTGGAACTCACTCCCTATCAATGTTACTAGATCTGTCAGTGTCTTTGGTTTTAAACGCAAATTGAAATTACATTTATTGAGTAACTATGTCGACAATTAACGTAAAAATTATATCACCAGAAATGATATTAGGAAATAATTTATCAATTGTTATTGATAACGTGCATTATCTTTTTGTTTTTGTTATGTTTGATTATTCAATATAAATGTCAGCATTTCACATTCTCTCACCCCCCCCCCTCTCTTCTATTTTTTTCTTTTTCTTTACACCTAATACCATTTTCCCCTATATACATATAACTTTCTTCTTTCTCTGTTTTTTTTCTCTGTTTTGTTGTTTTTCTCGTTCCAGTTTGCTTTTTTCCTCTTGATCCCTTTGTATATATTTTCATCCTCTCCTTTTCACATTTCAAGCTATCCCTTTTGTAAATATTTCCCCCATATTTAATCATGTGTAGTTTTTGATAACTTTGAAACATTTTTAAAAGTGAAACATTAATGGATTATGTTATATGGGGACCTTGCTCTTACAAGCCCAGCTTTTCTAAGGTCTCCACTTTCTTTCATTTGGATTATATATCGACTTAAAATTGCACTTAAATTGTTTTTTCTTATGCTGTTTTTTTGTTCTATTATTATATGTAAAAATGTTGTGAAAGAAAGAAATAAAATGAACCTTGAACCTTGAACCTTGTTAAC